TCTTGCTTGTTTGTAGGTGACCAAATACTTATTTTCCACCATTATTTGCAAAAAAATTCTTTAAAAGTCAGACAAAATGATTTTCTCAAATTGTTTTTTCACATTGTCTCTCATAGTTGAGGTCTACCTATGATGTCAATTACAGGCCTCTCTCATCTTTTTAAGTGGGAGAACTTGCACAATTGGTGACTGACTAAATACTTATTTTCCCCACTGTACTTTAGACAGATATCCTTAGCGGCTTTTTAATCTTCACTTAAAACCCATTTTTGTTCACTTTATTTGTAATTTTATGGTTTTATTCCCGTTTTATTTTTGAATGAATATTTGTTTGTTTTATTGTATTGAAGTGTAAAGCAGTTGGTTCCTTTGAGGAGTTTTAAATGGCTTTATTAAAAAAATAAATCAGACTGGATTGGATTACACTTTGAAAATCACCACCAAACCATTGTAACATCACACAAAAGCTCCTAAATTGTCTATTTTAGTAAATGTTCTTTCATTTGTGTATTTTGCAAAACATACAATGAATTTTGCATCAGTGACTTTTTGTTTGGTGTCTAAAATTATGAAAACTTTCTTARAGAATCTGAATTACGAATTATATTAAGATTTAACCTTAAACTTTAAATAATTTTACGTAGAACCAATGTTATATTAAGTTCAAGGAGATTTTTCAGTAAAAGTTGGTAAAAATGTGTCCAGGTCGGAGCGTCAGTCTCTCTCGGGGYCTCATCGTGTCACACGTTGAGACAAATGGTCGGAGGCTGGCGTTATTACTGCTGCCGCTTGTGCTACGACAGATTTTTAATGATGCAGTGCTTGAATATTAAAACCATTATGGAAGAGAGGGGGTGAGGGAAATTCAGATGTGATTCATTATTCTGCTCTGGGTGAGCCCCCCCTCCTCTCCCTCCTCCTCGTTACATCCATTCTTCGGTCCTCTCATCTTCCTCCTCCTCGTTTCTTCATAATTGTTTTTTCGTTTGTCTGCTTTTTTCCCCCCTGGATTCTTGTTGGCAAATGTTTCTTTTATTTGTCCCGTCTCCGTCTTCCATTTGTCACCTCGATGACAGAAGATGACTCAGGCTCGGTGGGGTTTTTATTCCGTCTCTGTGAGTGGAGACTGTACGCTGCTAATAGTCCCCCTCTTCCTGACAGACTAATGACTAGTTTGTGCTCCTGTCTGTCTCMCGCTCCACATTTCCCCTTCCTACCTCTTGCTTCTGGAAATGATTAGCTTCCTGGCACCCTCCTCCTCCAAAGAGAAGCATCTATTACGATGAATTCTGTCCAACTCCTTTTTTTTTTTTTGTTTTGTTATGTTTTCACCTTTCTGTCAGTCTTTTTATGAGGTTGTTATAACTTGGATCAAAAG